TAGTATATATATATATATATATATATTATTATTATATATATATATATATATATATATATATATATATATATATATATATATATATATATATATATATATGTATATGTATACATATATATCTCCCCAAAAAACGCGACCGACACACATACACCCCCCTCCGTATCCCTACGTGCATACGTTGTGTTCATATCGTGTGTCTTCATATACCTTGCAGATCCAACAGTTGTCAGACATAGCCGTGCGCGCCCTCTCCCCAGGCATCAACGACCCCCAGACGGCGGTGCAGTGTTTGGACTCGCTGAGTGTTGTGTTCTCGCGCATCAGTCGGTCAAAGTACGTTGAGTTGTTGTGTGTATAAGTACGTTGAGGTGTTGTGTGTGTAAGTACGTTGAGGTGTTGTGTGTGTAAGTACGTTGAGGTGTTGTGTGTGTACGTACGTTGATGTGTTATATATGTAAGTACGTTGAGGTGTTATTTGTGTAAGTACGTTGAGGTGTTATGTGTGTAAGTACGTTGACGTGTTATGTGTGTAAATACGTTGAGGTGTTATGTGTGTAAGTACGTTGAGGTGTTATGTGTGTAAGTACGTTGAGGTGTTGTGTGTGTAAGTACGTTGAGGCGTTATGTGTGTAAGTATGTTGAGGTGTTATGTGTGTAAGTACGTTGAGGTGTTGTGTGTGTAAGTACGTTGAGGTGTTGTGTGTATAAGTACGTTGAGGTGTTATGTGTGTAAGTACGTTGAGGTGTTATGTGTGTAAGTACGTTGATGTGTTATGTGTGTGTTATTGCGCAAATGTGTGTGTGTGCATGTCTGTCTATCAGTCGGTCAAAGTACGTTGATATGTTGTGTGTGTGTGTATGTCTGCCTATCTGCGCTGATAGGTGACTCCCGAGTATGATGACGGGGGTTCTATAGTATGGTCATCTTATCCCACCGATTCAGTGTTTTAAATTTAAACCCTGACCCTAAAACTCTGTGTGGTACTGTTTCACACGTGGATTGGTACGAGGTTTCCCTGTGCTTGACTGCGCGTCTGTGTCAGTTTTTATTTTTATTATTTGTCGTATCGTGTCAGTGATTTGTTTCTGTATTCTGTCTCTGTCTTTGTTTGTGTTTGTGTACCCGTCCGAGTGTTTGGGTGGTGTTTGGATGGGCTAGTGGTTCTAAGGTTCGTTGGTGGTCTGCTGTGGGAATGTCTTAAATGTTGTACTGTACTGCCGTGTTGCATATTCAATTCGTCTGCGTTTTTCTTTCCTTCTGTTTTGGGTTAACATATGCATCCGTGTCCGTAGCGTCGAGTATTCTATTGTATTCTATTGTTATGTATTATATTGTATTGTATTCTATTTTATTCTATTGTGTTGTATTCCATTCTATTCTATTCTATTCTATTCTATTCTATTGTAATGTATTGTATTGTTTTGTATTATATTATATTATATTATATTCGCCTTCGGCCCCTGTGTCTGTTGGATGGTGGATATCTTTTCGTACACATTTCTTCTGTGCCCTCTGTGCGCGTCTAGTCTCTTTTTCGTTGATACTATTTGTTAGCTATCTTATACCTGCTTCTTTCCGGTGTAGTTTTTAGGGTTCAGGGTTTAAGGCTTAAGCTTAGTAGGGTGCTTCTCTTGTATATCCTCTACTGTGTAATTGTAACGATTGAAATATACATAGAGCGTGACTGGTCGAGAATAAGTGTTTCTTCAGTAAATATATCCTCCCCTCTATTCCCATACTGTTTGTATATATATCTTTATTCCCATACTGTGTTTTTCCTGTATGTATATCCTCTACCTATTCCCATACTGTTTGTATATTCATCCTCTACTGTATTCCCATACTGTTTGTAAATATGTCCTCTCCACTGTTCCCATACTGTTTGTATATACCTCCTCTACTGTATTCCCATACTGTGTTTCTCCTGTATATATATCCTCTACTGTATTCCCATACTGTTTCTGCTGTATTCCCATACTGTTTGTTTATATATCTTCTCCACTGTTCCCATACTGTTTGTATATATATCTTCTACTGTATTCCCATACTGTGCTTCTCCTGTCTATATACCCTGATCTCTATCCCCGGCGTCTCTCCACAGATTCCCTCGTACCACCGCATGTGATTCAGAGGACAAAGTTCGTGCCATCGCACCTGTGCATGACTTCCCATACATCCTTGCCATCTGCATGGACCCCATCCGCCAATACGGAAAGGTGTGTAGTATGCCGATACAATGTCAGATATGTACAAGTAGAATGCCAATACAATGGCTGATATGTACAAGTAGAATGCCAATACAATGGCTGATATGTACAAGTATTTTGTGCATTATCGTGTGGCATGTATGGTCACATAATATAATGTCAACTGCCGTTTCGTTTGCGAGTGACATGTGTTCTCTGAACTGACATGCGTTCACTTTTAACAAACGTCTATTTCGTCCAACCGCAGTATGCATAACATGTAGTATACATAGCATGTAGTATACATAACATCCGCCCCTTGATACGTACTCACACACACCTACACTCCACTGATACACACACTCTCATACACACACTCTCATACACACACTCTCATACACACACTCTCATACACACACTCTCATACACACACTCTCATACACACACTCTCATACACACACTCTCATATACACACTCTCATACACACTCTCAACACTCTCATACACACACTCTCATACACACACTCTCATATACACACTCTCATACACACACTCTCATACACACACTCTCATATACACACTCTCATACACACACTCTCATACACACACTCTCATACACACACTCTCACACACTCTCACTCATACACACACTCTCATACACACACACTCTCTCTCTCATACACACACTCATACACGCACACACTCATATACACTCTCTCATACACGCACTCACGCACATACACACTGATACACACACTCACACACACACACACACATACACACACTCATACACACACTCTCACACACTCTCATAAACACACTCAAATACACACACTCTCATAAACACACTCACATACACACACTCTCATACACACACTCTCACACACATGCACACACTCTCACACACTCACTCATAAACACACTCACATACACACACTCTCATACACACACACACACACCCAACTGCACACCATCCACCAGGCGGACGCCTCCGTTGTGCGTAGGGCAATGTACTTTCTGGGCGATTTGGGGGCCATAGCAAAACGTTTACGGCTAAAGATACGCGTACGTGCGATCAAGCGACAGCTGAAGGAGTGGCATCGTGTGGCGGAGGTCAAATTCGCCGACGACAGCATGAATCTGCGCTCAACACGATCGGTATAACGCATACACAGATATATTAGCCTATATCATAGCACACGCATCCACACATTGTGTTACAATGTGTGTATATTGTGTTACAATGTGTGTAAAAGCCTATCCTCATAGCACACACACCCACTCATCGTGTTACAATGTGTGTAAAAGCCTATCCTCATAGCTCACACACCCACTCATCGTGTTACAATGTGTGTATAAGCCTATCCTCATAGCACACACATCCGCTCATCGTGTTACCATGTGTGTATAAGCCTATCCTCATAGCACACACATCCGCTCATCGTGTTACCATATGTGTATAAGCCTATCCTCATAGCACACACATCCACACAACGTGTTATCATGTGTGTATAAGCCTATCCTCATAACACACACATCCACACAACGTGTTATCATGTGTGTATAAGCCTATCCTCATAGCACACACATCCACTCATGTTTTAGGGTTTAGGGTTTTATGATATATACCTATCCTCTTAGTCCACACACACCCACAACCCTCTGCTACAGGTATACGAACACGCCCGCCACTCCATCACCTCTGCCGCAGCCGACCGAGTGCCGCACAATGAACACAAACGCAACCACCGACAAGAGGACATAGAGGGCATGGGCGACGACGATGGCAATCCCGCCACAGCCACCAGCGGTGCTGAGACGGAGGAAGCGGATGGTATATATATAAATATATATGAGTTTGGAATGGTTTGGTGTTGGTGTGTATATGTGTTGTGGATGTTTCTTTGTTATCGTATATTTTGGTATATATATATATATGAGTTTTAGAACGGTTTGGTGTTGGTGTGTATGTGTGTTGTTTGTTAGCTCGGATGTTTCTATGTTTTCGTATATTATGGTGGGAGTATGTGAGTTTGGAATGGTTTGGTGTTGATGTATACATGTGTTGTTCGTTAACTGGTATGTTTCTTTGTTATCGTATATTTAAACCTCTCGTCACCGCATGACTTCTCCTTTATATCTCACACATTCATTAAACCTCTCGTCACCACATGACTTCTCCTTTATATCTTAAGACATTCATTACACCTCTCGTCACCGCATGATTTCTCCTTTATATCTCAAGACATTCATTAAACCTTTCGTCACCACATGACTTCTCCTTCATATCTCAAGACATTCATTACACCTCCCGTCACCACATGACTTCTCCTTTATATCTCAAGACATTCATTACACCTCTCATCACCGTATGACTTCTCCTTTCTATCTCAAGATATTCATTTAACCTCTCGTCACCATATGACTTCTCCTTTCTTTCTCAAGACATTCGTTAAACCTCTCGTCACCGTATGACTTCTCCTTTCTATCCCACACATTCATTAAACCTCTCGTCACCATATGACTTCTCCTTTCTATATCACACATTCATTAAACCTCTCGCTTGTTGTGTGCACAGCCGACATGGACGAGTATCAAACGGGCGACGAGAATGAAAGCGGCAATCAATTCGGTGAAGACAACCTATCCTCGGACGATGACGCGGATGTCAACCTGAACATGGACGGTCCCACACTTATGGGTACGGTTCAGAAAGTGAAGGAAATGGTTGGCCTGGCCGTAGCTGCGGAAGCAAACGGAACGGGGGCGGACAACAGGCACAACCAGGAAGGAGAGCTGAAACGCGGCGTGGAGATGGGCACGAGGGATAGCAAGGGCAGCGTCAGGAGTATGGGCAGTAATTCAGATGAGTGTGCGCTGGAGATCGATTCCTAGATATGTATATGTATATTTTTATATTATATGTATATGTATATATATATACGTGTATGGTACTTCTGCACAGGATGGCTGCCTGGGTGCGCTTTGGTACGAGATGAAAGCACACCAGTCCGCTTTTGCTTCTATCAACAGATCAGTCCGTCTGATGCAAACACATACCACGACGAGAACTGTGGCATCAGCACGTAGACGCAGGAAATCGTACACTCACTCCAACGCCCGGATATCAATCGTGCTTAAAACTTTCTCGCTCATGAAGTCAATATATATACATAATACGGTATACGAAATGCCATAAATGTATTATCGTATTGGCACCCTGAACATACAACGATGACGTCCAAATTAAGAAGTGGCGACTTAAATAAGAAAGTATGTCGTCGTGTTAGCCGGGTCACAGAGTCTGATACGATCCAACATCAAGCACAGCACCAATACCAAGGCAGCGGGGGACAGCATACAACCCTGTTTCGTTGGAATAGGGCTAGTCTCATTGTTGTGGGAACAATTCGGGATTAGTCCGTCGCGTTCAGTAATGAGAATCTGACCACGGAATAGGACTAGTCCCATTGTTGTGGGAACAATTCGCGATTAGTCCGTTGCGTTCAGTAATGGGAATCTGACCATGGAATAGGACTAGTCCCATTGTTGTGGGAACGATTCGGGATTAGTCCGTTGCGTTCAGTGATGGGAATCTGACCATGGAATAGGACTAGTCCCATTGTTGTGGGAACGATTCGGGATTAGTCCGTCGCGTTCAGTAATGGGAATCCGACCAGACCAGACTTATTTAGCCATGAACAGTTGGAGAGCAGTACAAAGCAATACCACGGTTTGATGGGTATGAGACTGCGAAAGGTCCTAGCGGCGAATCCGATCAGTTCAATGTACCAGTCTGGGGTGTGGAATTCACATCACCTAAATCGCGGGGTTTATAGATGATGTGAAGCAAAGTGGTACATTTCTCCACCCTAAAACCCAAACCCCTAAACCCTGAACCTTAAAACCATCAGATGGCAACCTATGGTGATGCACACAGTGGTCAGTTTTTTTTCATTGCGTGGTACGTGGGTGTCGGAAAATGGCATCAGAGTGAATACGTTGTATTTTACACCTTCTGCCACACGTGAGGGATCTGAGAGCCAACCGGCCGAACTTCGGGGCTAAACATACTCGTTACTGTACCAGAGACTCGGCACTCCCATTGCATTGCATTGTCAAGTGGATGACTACGTTGGAGAACCACGTTAAGCAACGGAGGGGGGGGGGTCTGTAATGTCATGCTACGTTACAACGCACTAATGGCTCGGATTGACCTACAGATGAATATGTAATGGAACTTATACAACGGAAAACCCCCAACCGCTGCACACCATCACAACGGATGGCGCGGAAACGGGGGGGGGGGTTTAGGTTTAGGGTTACACCTAGAACCTTACCCGAACGGGGGGAGAAGTAAAAAACAATTTAGTAACGCAAGTAAATACAGACGCAATCTACAAAGCACGCGATTGACCAACCCGCTGAAGTGTCGTGTTCGATCGTATTGCACGCTGCCCCACTTTTTGGCCGCACAGTGATGTACCCATTAATCTTGCTGTGAAGGTTCAGCCTATGACTAACTAACTGTCCAGCACGTGTTTATGAGTATATTTATTCTCATATGATGCAAAGCACGTTGTTTAGGTATGTGGAAATCTTATCTTGCTATGGACGCTGAGGTTGTACTCTACGATACTATTTGTAACAGTAAACTCACTTCGTTGTACTATACGATACTATTTGTAACAGTAAACGTACTTTGTTGTAATCTACGATACTATTCATAACAGTAAACTCACTTCGTTGTACTATACGATACTATTTGTAACAGTAAACTTGCTTTGTTATACTATATGATACTATTTGTAACAGTAAACTCACTTCTTTGTACTGTATGATACTATTTGTAACAGTAAACGTACTTCGTTGTACACTACGATGCTATTTGTAATAGTAAACGAACTTCGTTGTACTATACGATACTATTTGTAACAGTAAACGTACTTCGCAGAGTTCAATATCCTTGCAAGGTCTGATCAATTTATGATAGGCAGCCAGCTTTTATCCAACACGTCGTTTCCGTGTAAAGTGTGCGTGTTGTGTGTTGTAATTGTAAACTAGATAGGTTAGCGTGCTATGCCGCATTAAACAGGTGTGTGGTCCACGGTCAAACGTGAGTACGCACCCACTTAAAACCCTAAAACCCTAACCCAAGGAACAGTCGACATCATCACACTAAAAACCCTAAACCCGAAATCACTTAGGATCGCGCTTGCATTCACCCATGGGGCAGCTGTGGCCTGGTTGCTTGTTATAAGTGCACAGTCACACCATGCTGACACACTACCTCATCATCAATCGCACGTCAGACTCACCCCGCTTTAAGGTGGTGAGCCTTGATTGATCACCATAGCCTCCTGTTCTATATAGGATTAGGAGGCTATGGGATCACGCCTGTGAAATGTAGGGTCTGGTAAACGTAGGGTTTGGCAAGAGTAGGTGAAATGCGCACTATGCGAGTGGTTCCGCTTAGGGTTTACCAGCTTAGGCACCACAACGTTGATCAAATCAAATACGTTCAGTCTGTCGCTGTGTCTGTGTTTATGGGTTATCTTCGTACCGGACGCCTTAAATCCTAAAACCCAAATTACTCCGTGGTACACTATTACAAACACTTCCGTGAGTGTAGGTATCGATTGTCATGCACAACAGCACACACTGATAGAGATGCAAACATCAGATCGGATGAATTCTCGGGTTCGTGTTAGGGTTGGTTGGATCGTGTAGACCTACTACTTAAATTAGAAAGGGTGTACAAATCGTCTAACTTTTCTAATTAGTGTTGATATAGCTTAACCCATCTAATTAGAAGGGTGTGTATGTATTGTCTAACCCATCCAATTAGAAAGGGTGTATATAAAGTCTATCCCATCTAATTGGAAAGGGTGTATATAGCCTAACCCATCTAATTAAAAAGGGCGTATATATATTCTAACCCATTTAATTAGAAAGGGTGTATATATAGTCTAACCCACCTAATTAGAAAGGGTGTATATATAGTCTAACCCATCTAATTAGAAAGGGTGTATATATAGTCTAACCCGTCAATTAGAAAGGGTGTGTACATAGTCTAACCCATCTAGTTAGAAAGGGTGTATATATAGTCTATCCCGTCTAATTAGAAAGGGTGTGTACATAGTCTAACCCATCTAATTAGAAAGGGTCTATATATAGTCTATCCCGTCTAATTAGAAAGGGTGTGTATATAGTCTATCCCATCTAATTAGAAAAGGTGCTTAGATGATTCTGTGTCAATTGGTGTATAAATGAACCACAGACAGACCTGCTCATCAGACACATGACTACATGATTGTGCCTGGATTCGCGGCTACTTTATACTTTTGAGTGATGTAACCCTATTTTATTATCTATGTTCTTGAGAATATCCAACTACGGTATGTCATGCAACTGGTCCTCACAATCTCCGAAGCTGTCTAGGCTTTCCATTGAAGTGTTCACAGGAGAAACTGATCTCAAGCGCATCGGCACAGTTCGCCGCAACATAATCGGTGGTGTATGCGACTGCATATACATACTTGTGTACGTCTATTTTTTAGAAGGCTATGGTGTAGCGAAGTAATGATGTATGCGACTACATATGCGTGCTTGTGTATATCTATTTTTTAGAAGGCTACGGTGTAGCGAAGTAATGATGTATGCGACTGCATATACATGCTTGTGTATGTCTATTTTTTAGAAGGCTACGGTGTAGCGAAGTAATGATGTATGCGACTGCATATACATGCATGTGTATGTCTATTTTTAGAAGGCTACGGCGTAGCAAAGTAATGATGCATGCGACTGCATATACATGCTTGTGTACGTCTAATTCTTAGAAGGCTATGGTGTAGCGAAGTAATGATGTATGCGACTGCATATACATATTTGTGTATGTCTATTTTTTAGAAGGCTACTGTGTAGCGAAGTAATGATGTATGCGACTGCATATACATGCTTGTCTATGTCTATTTTTTAGAAGTCTACGGTGCAGCGAAGTGATGATGTATGCGACTTCCTATACATGCTTGTGTATGTCTATTTCTTAGAAGGCTCTGGTGTAGCGAAGTAAAACACTTCACATAGCGGGCCGCCGCACTCGCCTCGCTCCAGTTGTTATCCGTTACTGAGCAACGCCTGAGAAAATAGCGTGAGAGCCCTTCAGTAACGAGTCCACGCACTGGCTGTGGGTTGTCTAGGGCCAATCAAAGAAAACGTATGCGCCCCGTTGTATGCGTTGAGTCTTGCCCTGGCATAGCAAATCAGCACATGGTAACTACAGAGACTGCGAAGCTGGAGTGGGCTAGCATACATCCCGTTTGTGATTACACACAGGAGCATGTTGAGTAGGTTTGGAACGGGGTTAATTAGCTTCGCGAGAAAAAAAACCCCGCATCATCATAGATTTGTACACAGGAAGAACCTGGTATATCTGCATTTAAGGAATAAACCACCTATTTCAAACCCGCTGAGTGCAGCACAATATGTTCTCAGAATATCACATACGAATATGTACGTATGTCCATCCGATACGCTATGAAAACGATAACCGATTCAGATAATCTAGTACGCTAAAGATCGAATATGTAAGGCCAACTTTATTAGATGTTTGATGGCGAGGGATCTCCCCAGGCCTTGCGAAAGTATCTTCATGTTGTTAAACAGACCATTACGAATCGTTGGAACGGTCGGAAAGGTAGGGTGTACCATTCAACCACAAGACTCCATACGCAATAGAGCACGTAGGACACTGTACATTCACAAATACGTGAAACCCTACAACCAATGCGAGCGTAGAGGTCCATCGCATCGCCTGCGGATGAGTGATGAGTGGAAGGAGACTCCTGTAGACGCCACTCGTGCTCGTGGGCGGGCTGAGGTGTTGCTTATGATGATACCATGCGTATATCGCTCACATGCCGATTGTGAAAACAGGGCTATACAGTATACGGCCCATCAGCTAAACGTACAAGCGGGTGCAAGGGTTGTTGTCGTTGTCAACAACTAGCTCCCGCCTTGTGTGAGGATGTCCGATGGCCGATCGGTACACCCGGTGGGACGAGACCTCCTGTGCCTACCCCCGCTATGCCGCACCTGGGGTACCACTCTGTCTCGCTCTCAACGAAAAGGACCGCCTCACAAGGGCCTGCACCTGGTCTGCCATTCGATGGGGCCAATTTGCATCCGATCCGCGTCAGGCTGTTTCAAGCGTGGGTGCCGGGGCGTAGTGCGAGTGCTGTAATTTGTACAGTGCTCTCGCGATGAGTAGTGAGTGGACGCTATCGAACAGCGCCTGAAGCGCGACTATCCACAGCAGCACCAACACACCCTCAGCAGGGTGCATAACCACCAGACACAGCCCACCTAGGATGAAGAACAGGCCATTCGTGCCCAGCGCAAAGGTCACCTCCTGATGTTTGATGCGTGCAGAGGATGAGAGAGAGAGAGAGAGAGAGATGAGAGACTCGCTTGTGCAAAGGTGCTTCAATTGAGACGCTAGAATAGAGACAGCACTACACGTCGTTGCAGTCCTGTGCCAATGCGGGTATACATTCGAACATGTGTTTGAATGGAAGTGTGCTTCTATAGTTATATAGAGCAGCAAAAGTATGCATTCTTACTTTACACACGTGTTTGAATAGATAATTTACACACGTGTTTAGATAGATGAGTCTACAGCTATATAAGCAGCACAGGTATGCATTTCGATTTGTTTGGAGGACACTGATGCGCCGTATATTGAAAGTTGAGCTCAGAAACAGACGCCTATAATATATAAGCATCTATATGCACACTATGTTGAACTGTTATGTTTATGGCACTATACACAACATGAGTAGATAATATATATATAAACGCCTATATGCACACTCGATACAATGCAGGATCTGCGACTGCAAGTGGATGAGCTTTCACATACCTGGGGCACCTGAGAGGTGGGCGATATCCACGCGTTGGAGACAAAGTATAGGCCATAGAACAACATCCGGAAAGCCACAAAGTACAGCACAGTCAAGGCGGTCACGTCCTGGATTGTATATAGGAAAACGTTATGCATTGTATATAGGAATACGTTATGCATGGTACATAGGAATACGTTATGCATTGTATATAGGAATACGTTATGCATTGTTCATAGAAATACGTTGTGCCGGTGAGTGGAAGCAAGACGCTGGCTCAGCCAAGAGCGTACGGGGTACGCTTGAAACATGCATAGTGTGAGTGTGAAATAGAGAGTGTGGGAGTGAAATAGACAAAGTGCGAGAGTGAAATGTAAAAAGTTACAGCCGGTCAAGTAACCACACTCCGAAGGGCAGGGACAAATACGAATACATATACGTATATATATATATATATATATAATAAAATTTAATGCACACACATATACATATATATATATATATATATATATGTGTGTGTGTGTGTGCGTGTGTGTACATGTTGATAGTATATACATATAAAATACCATGCTACATAATCGATAGTAAATACAAACAGATTTTCATGCTACATGAATGTATGTACGTACATATAGCTACAAATTCATCAATAGTGCATAAATTGGGATCAAAATAGATGCATATCCAAATATATCTATAGACTCGTATCATCGTTCACATATGTCCACTTATTTCTAGCTACGTTACGGCAATCATAGTATATATACATATGCAACAGCAAATTCTCCGTTTCAAAATTAGAATAACTGTATTTGTGTTTGGTGTGCTTATACACAATAGGTTCACATATAACATTCATAGCCTAGGTATATATATCTTCAAATAAAATATAACATTCATAGCCTAGGTATATATATATCTTCAAATAATTTTATCATCCATAGCCTAGATATATATATATATTTATCTTCAAATAAAATATAACATCCATAACCTAGGTATATTTATATCTTCAAATAAAACATAACATCCATACCCTAGGTATATATGTATATTCAAATAAAATATAACATTCATAGCCTAGGAGCCTAGGTATATATATCTTCAAATAAAATATAACATTCATAGCCTAGGTATATATATGTATATCTTCAAATAAATTTTAGCATCCATAGCCTAGATATATATATATATATATCTTCAAATAAAATATAACATCCATAGCCTAGGTATATATATATCTTCAAATAAAATATAACATCCATACTCTAGGTATATATGTATATTCAAAATAAAATATAACATTCATAGCCTAGGTATATATATATCTTCAATATATCTTCAACTAAAATATAACATCCATAGCCTAGGTATATATATATCTTCAAATAAAATATAACATACATACTCTAGGTATATATGTATATTCAAATAAAATATAACATTCATAGCCTAGGTATATATATATCTTCAAACTGAATATAACATACATAACCTAGGTATATATATATCTTCAAATAAACTATAACATCCATAGCCTAGGTATATAGACATCTTAAAATAAACTATAACATCCATAGCCTAGGTATATATACATCTTCAAATAAAATATAACATCCATAGCCTAGGTATATATATATCTTCAAATAAGATATAACATCCATAGCCTAGGTATATAAACATATCTTCAAATAAAATACAACATCCATAGCCTAGGTATATATGTATCGTCAAATAAAATATAACATCCATAGCCTAGGTATATATATATATATATATATATATCTTCAAATAAAATATAACAATCATAGCCTAAGTATATATATTTCTTCAAATACAATGCAACATTCATAGCCTAGGCATATATATATCTTCAAATATAATATAGTATTCATAGCCTAAGTATATATACATATCTTCAAATAAAAACATTCATAGCCTAGCTACACCTATATCTGCAAATAACGACTATACCTGATACGTCAGTGTCAGGAAGCTGATCGAGATGTCAAACAGACCGCTGAAGAAGACCCATCCATTGCAAACATACAGTCCAAACGCCACAGAGAATATGCCTGGACATGGAAAGATGCACATTGAATTAAGACTTCCATCAGAAGCAATGGGACGCGCTCTCGATGCAGACACATGTGTGTTAATTTGTACTTAATATGTGCATTCATCTGTTGATTTGTACTAAAAATATACATTCATTTGTTAATTTGTACTAAATGTGTGCATTCATCTGTTGATTTGTACTAAAAATATACATCCATTTGTTAATTTGTACTAAATGTGTGCATTCATTTGTTAATTTGTACTAAAAATATACATTCATCTGTTAATTTGTACTACATGTGTGCATTCATTTGTAATATGCACTATAGTGAGCCTCGAACTCCAGCGCAAGCTGTCGCCTTCAACAATCAATTAGGACGGTCCTCGAACAACCAGCAACCAGGCCAAGGCATTCACTAACCACTCAACGAATGAGAGCCAGACTACAGTACCAACTAATACTTGGTGTGTGGACACAAACGCTCCAGACACTTCTATGCAAACGCTCACATGCGAAACCACTCAACAAATGAGAGCCAAACCACAGTACCATGTAATACTTGGTGTGTGTACACAAACACTCCAGACACTTCTATGTATACGCTCACATGCGTAACCAGGTACACCTACAGACGTCAGCCTCTACGAAACATACGTAATGATATCCAAATACAACATGGACATTATCATGCCAACCAACGCAGCCATTTCCCCGTGCGAGAGAGTGAACGGTATGTACGTTGAATGGCAAAGAAGTACCAGATCCGTATAGAGTAAGTACACAACAGCCCAAGCACACTAGGCTACAAGCATCTACAACTATACAACATACGATGCAGTGTATTGGTATATATGAATACAAGCCCATGACAAGTACTTTACATACATACCACAGCTTACAGTACACAGTGCATGCATCCATTTGGATATACGTTTATACCTTGTACAGCCATTGTGGCTGAGAACAGACAGAGAAATACGAACAGTGTCATTCCCGGGGCGCAAAACGTTGAAACGGAGAAAAGGAAAGCGACGATGCCACGGAAGAGATGCCACCTCCACTCCATACTTACCAACTGCCAAGTGAAGAGAGTAGTGTTGAGGTTGCGATGAACACGTGGAGACCTCGATACTCGCCCGAGTCAAAACTATATTCAAACGGAAGGGGTAATCAATAGGGGCTATAAAAAGACAAGAGATATAAGTAGACTCCACGGCATCGAGTAACGGCACAGATCTGTGGTACAACGATAAGAATAGGGTATTCCTTACGCCACTAATAAATTGTAAATATACTGGATGCCTATCACAGCCCATGCTACAATCTGTGGCATATACTCAGGACACTTGCATGAGTCCCACAGAATAACAGTAAGCACGTCGTCGTCTGGATTGTTCATACAGATATACTAAATCTCATACATTGCAAGCACATGCCTATGGAGTGACATGCGCGAATGTGAGCGTTCATGCCAATTGATAAGAAACACATAAACCCCATCATAGAAACAAGGTTTATGCGTAATTGCCAACAACACTAGCGTCTCATTTTAACGGTAGAATTCCATTGGCTAGGTTATTTGTACGATATTGACGCGTGCATCAGCTCACGAGATATGTGCATAATTGGGCTGTCGGTTAAAAGCATTTGTGTTGCACCAATTCCAGATATATATATATATATATATATATATGTGTGTGTGTGTGTG